GAGGGCTGCCGAGTATTGTTAACCCCCCCCCCCCCCAAAAAAAAAACACACACACACCCCACTAACTTTGGACAAGGGGCAGTCCGGTTTAATCCTCCCCACATACAATCACTGAAAGCCTTCTATTTTGTGATTGGAATACTAGACATTTTAATCAATAGAGGGGGTAAAAGAAGTGATGTTCTAAACTGCACTCTACTCAGAACTTGGCAGGAGCAGAGAGCCTGGGTAATCAAAGCCAACTGTAAATCAACTAAGAGATTCTTTGGATGTAGCATACTAAGCATTAGAGGTAGCCGAGGCGTACCAATTTAAAGTTAAAAAAACATTCCCCCCCCCCTTGAGTTCCACTTTTAATATGAACAGCACATGGGTATGGATGCAGAGAATTATTATAAATCCAGCAAGTTTGGGAGAAAAGCTGGAAAGAGAAGGTAGACAGCCACACCACACTTGTGAAACTGTAGCCAAGAAAACTGATTGAAAGATAAAATATGTTGCATCTTTCAAGAGCAAATACAATTGGTTGAAACCGTAGACAAGGTCAACTTAGTTTGAGTTTTCATCCCCAAAAACACTTCTCCTTGTAGTTGGGAAGTTACATATCCCAAAACACAACCGGTACTTACTCTTTGGGCACTGGTACTTTAGAATCTGGTTGTAAAATGAGGTCTATCCTCAGGGGCTTTTCACGACGTTTGTTGACTTTAGAATCTGGAAAGCAAACAAGTGTTACACATTATAAAAAAAAATACATATAATATATATAAATTAACATTTTTGCAGCAGCAGCATTCCATGCCACCTCTAAGCAGGGAGAGTATGTTTTACTGTTCCCGTACCTGTCTTTTAACATAACCCAAAGGGGAATGGTGTGCAGCAGTCAAACTACACTGAACTACTATATAGTAGCTAGTATGTGGTACTATGGATTACTATAAATCATTATAGAATCAAAGAGATCTACAGAATTCTAATGGAAAACTGCAAAAATAAAGAATTAGTCCAAGAGTCACTGACTGATTCTAAGGCCTACGTAAGGTGACCAAGCTTACTTCATAGAGTAGATGAAGAGGAGCCCTCCTTACCTTTTTGTTCATTACCAGTATCCACAAAGAACAAGCTTTCATCCTTCTTCTCTGCTAACAGGCCACTGTAAAAAGAAAAGAGTTCAGCTTATACATTCTCATGTTTCTCAATGAAATTCCTGCCACCAGTCCATCACATAACTGGGGAGAATGAACCCTTTATTTCCTGTCCTGTTGGCTCATAGGATATCTTTCCAATGGGGAGGGAAAGCTCCTCTTAGATGTCAAGGGAACAAGTGTCCCCTCTATCCCTGTTTGGAGGCAACTGAATATTTTGAATCTACCCCTCACTGTCATGGCTGCTATCCCCTGACCACTCTATCCAAAAAAAAAAAAGTTGTCTTTATACTGTAAATTAGGGATGCACTGAAATTTCAGCACATGCCTGGTTTCTCTCCTCCCCGTTGGGTGCTGCTCTGTGTCCCCTCTGACACAGAGCAGCGTCCAGCAGGGAGGAGAGAAACTGTCACAGGAGGCCAAGCAGTGCGGGAGGAGAGCAATGTGAGCGGCCAGCGTGTCTCCTCCGCGCACCGCTCGCTCAGCCTCCTGTGACAGCAAGTCAGGATGGAGAGCGAGTACAAACACTCAGCGATCACTGAGTGTAAATAATGGGAGGACATGGTATGTTTACTGTGTCCCCAATTATGAATAAATGGGAAGCGATCTACATCACCTCCTGTTCATTCATAATTGTGGATATAGTAAACATACTATGTTCTCAACGAACAGGAACACTCAGTATAGAGGATTTTTGTTCATTTCGAACAGGAGCTGTAGAAAAAAAAAAAGTTTGAGGACTCCGTGTTCTCAATCTCTTTCAAAAAGGGAAATATCAGGAGTCTGATTAGACCCCCAATATTTCCCCAAAGCCCCCAGCAGTACCTTAAAAAGATAACTATTTTTGGTTTTCGTTTTTGACAAATTTCATTTCGGTGCACCTCTACTATAAATGGTAATCAGATTTGAGTATGAACCCTTTGCCTCCAACTTATATGTGGTCACGCAGACCTGAGATAAAGCCCATAAAGTTCTCAACCACTAGTATGGGAGTCTGGCATTCCTATAATGGCCATTTCACGGTGTCAGTAGCTCCCTAGTGACAGGACAGCCATGCTTTGTGCACCTGCATTACAAGGCACTACAGTCTCAGAAGGAAAACAAAGGCAGGAGGTGCACAAGCAGAGAACCATCATAGCACATTCTGAATCTGAGATCTACGTGACAGCCTAGAGGTACCACAGGGAGAACAGGGGGAGGGCTTGTTAGCATGGGCAGATTATATTAGGGTATCAACAAAACCTTTTTTGTTTTAGCTTTGTATAGGGTGGAGAAGGGTTAGATCCTCAGTCGGGGTTTTATAGCTGTCCCTGTTGAGAACATTCACCCCTTTATTTTTACTGGCAACCGTTGTCACCGGAAAAGGAAATCCAACAATGTTGGTGGTGTCTCCAAAACAAGATTTCCCAATGGGGACAAATAAGGGCAATTCTTCCCAATTCATGAGATTTCCCCTTTAACGCATTGCATCATCAGAACAGGAAGTAAAGGGAAATCTCCACAACCGGACAGAGAGCAGAAAAAGAACGAAAGGCAGAGACTCTCAGTCAAGTGTTTATTGCTGTCTGTGACCCCATTAGGGAGATACATGCTCTCTACTTGTCATAGTGACCACTGTCAACAGAAAAAGGGGGAATATCCCAAATTTTACAGTTGTCACCAGAACAAGAGGTGAAGTGAAATCTTTCAATGTGAAATCCTGTTCCATGATCTCCCCAATGGCAGAGAGCAAACAAATAACATTATAACATATAGTCACTCACATTTAAAAATCAAGGAAACCGGCCGGTATAGTGTAGCGTCTCACTCACCTGTTACTTCCTGGTATAGCGTGATATCGAATTAGGATAGACCCGCCCCGACGCGTTTCGTCATACAAGACGTCCTCAGGAGGTCATTTTACCTAAATCCATAACGGACGGAGTGTGCGGACTCTGACTTGGGATCTTCTGCTTTAATATCTCAACCCGTGTGGTGAGTACACACCCGAAAGGGGATAGTTTGAAAGCACCGTGGTGTGGGAAGAATTCACCAACTGATGCACCAAATAACATAACCCATCACCATGATAATACTAATCCTGGCCCATTTGCCTTTTTTTGTAAAGGGTAATGCCACTTTCCCAGGTGAATTTGGGAAAATAAAGTTACCCTTTTGCCAGTTTACTACACACACTGCATACACAGCATCACATAAGCACTTCTCATTGGGACTGCGCTGTCCAATGAGTGCTCGCCATTTGCAAGCGAAATTTAAAATACAGAGTGCGCCTCTATTTACAGAGTACGGGCACTACACCGGCGGAGGGGAATGAGCATTAGGCAAAAGGTAGGATTTCAGGGAGACTGGGTCAGATTGGAGAGCATACTTCCTTTTTCCAAAATCCACCTGGGAAAGTGGAATTACGCTTCCAACTTACCTAAAGTCGCAGTCACATGACACTCAGGTCCAGAGTCTTCCTTCTTCATTTGATTACATCCAGGGCCCTTCTTGGGGTGTCCATGCCACTGCCTGAATGAAGTGGACAGTATTGGCTGTCCAGCAGCATGTTCCTGGCAGGATTCAGAGGTGTAACATCATCATGAGGGGACAGTAGGTGACCAGCTGGTGAGTGGACCACCTGCAATTCTTATTAACAGTCCTCCACACCTGGAAACTTCACCAGTAAGGGACGCTATATTTTGTTTAGAGTGGGGCTCTAACCCTTCTATCCAAAACTTAAAGTATTGGCTATCCATACACTACAAAAAAAAGTTAATGTTTTGTAATGAGCCCACTAGGGGGGAGGGCAGGCTGGGACACATGGCCCCCTCAGCACTGAATGTTTAGCAGGCTGCCATGGGCATGATCAGGCTCTCACCCAGCAGTCCTCTCCTGCAGCCGCACGTCGTCCAGGAACTCCTCCACATCCTGAACATCGCTGTGCCGCTTCCAGTTCTTCTTCTTATTCCGGTTCACCCGCTTCCTCTTCAAGGTCCCCTTCTGTCCGCATTTCGACTGCTCGCTGAACCCCAAGAAGCCCTCCTCCACGCGGCCCTTACCGGAGGCCACCATGCTGGAACTAAAGGCCGTGATGACGTCAGCGCCGGAAGTACGTCACCTCAGCGGCGCGTGAAGCAAGACGGCGGCCTTCTTATTAAAGGGCAAAGCTGCCCACCAATATCGAGGAAGGATTGTGCGTCTCCTTCGAGGACTTGTATCTATAATTGTCCCTGGTTCACAAAACGTAGCGCTTCATCTTGTTTTCCATGGTAAAAGGACCAATATACATTAAAACCTCCCAAATGTAGGATTTTAAGGGATAGGTGGACGCATGGGGTGTGCCATTAAAAAGTGGGCGTGGTGGGAAAATGCAAGTATTTTAAATGCTGCAGTTTTTCCCTTTCCATACATATTGTTTGTTAATTGACAATTTGTCAGCCTTGCTCCTCCCTATATACCCTTTTGTATAGCTGTGGGGGAAGGAGAGAAGAGCAGTACTATAGACTCAGAGCAGGGATATGGAAACTCTTGACTCTCCAGCTTTTGTGAAACTACATATCCCATAATGCATCTGTTTCTGGGAGTCATGCCTGTGGCTGTTAGAGTCTTGCAATGCATCATGGAATTTGTAGTTTCACCACAGCTTTCAGGCCAAAGTTTGCCTGAGTGTACTTGGTTTGCTCTGCACCAAGCAGCTCAAGGCTTTTGGATTTCTACAGAGGGGAGGCTTTTAAAGCTAAATCACATGTATAAAATACCTTAAAGGGCATCTCTGTATTTCTATATTGCCTTTCCATAAGTTCTCTACCACTCCTAATAATCATATCCATCTAGAAGTTTGTAAACTTACTTATTGAAGATGCCCATAGGATGTACTTCCTCAATGCACTGACACCATTTCACTCAGCCCTGTACATATAAACTTCCTTGTGTCACCACTCTCACAGACCTTGCCTTCTGTGCTCCCTCTCCAAGTCTTATACATTAATGTCTCCATTCCTATGAGACATTTGCTGGGCAGCCTGCTGGGAGTCTCACTGCTTTACCGCACCACAATGACATGTGATCATTCTCCTTTGTAGGTTCATTGGACTGGAAGTCAGTTGCGTGATGCTAAATCTTTCTCACCGTCACAGAACCTTTATTTAAATGTTTTCTCTACTAATGTTCTTCCTTTTTTGACCGGGACCGAGTGATTGCTGGGACAGGGAACGAGTGATTGCTGGGACAGTGACCGAGTGATTGCTGGGACAGGGAACGAGTGATTGCTGGGACAGGGAACGAGTGATTGCTGGGACAGGGACCGAGTGATTGCTGGGACAGGGAACGAGTGATTGCTGGGACAGGGACCGAGTGATTGCTGGGACAGGGGCGGGTGATTGCTGGACAGGGAACGAGTGATTGTTGGGCCAGGGAACGAGTGATCTGTTCCATTTTCTACGCAATGTCTGCATAAAGGTGCCCATACACTGCACGATTATCGTACGATAATCGTGCAGTGTATGGGCACCTTTATGCAGACATTGCGTAGAAAATGGAACAGATCACTCGTTCCCTGGCCCAACAATCACTCGTTCCTTGTCCCAGCAATCACTCGTTCCGTTGCACGTCTCCGTTCACACTGCTCGATTATCGTACGAAAGCCCGATCGCATACGATTATCGTACGATAATCGTGCAGTGTATGGGCACCTTTATGCAGACATTGCGTAGAAAATGGAACAGATCACTCGTTCCCTGGCCCAACAATCACTCGTTCCTTGTCCCAGCAATCACTCGTTCCGTTGCACGTCTCCGTTCACACTGCTCGATTATCGTACGAAAGCCCGATCGCATACGATTATCGTACGATAATCGTGCAGTGTATGGGCACCTTTATGCAGACATTGCGTAGAAAATGGAACAGATCACTCGTTCCCTGGCCCAACAATCACTCGTTCCTTGTCCCAGCAATCACTCGTTCCGTTGCACGTCTCCGTTCACACTGCTCGATTATCGTACGAAAGCCCGATCGCATACGATTATCGTACGATAATCGTGCAGTGTATGGGCACCTTTATGCAGACATTGCGTAGAAAATGGAACAGATCACTCGTTCCCTGGCCCAACAATCACTCGTTCCTTGTCCCAGCAATCACTCGTTCCGTTGCACGTCTCCGTTCACACTGCTCGATTATCGTACGAAAGCCCGATCGCATACGATTATCGTACGATAATCGTGCAGTGTATGGGCACCTTTATGCAGACATTGCGTAGAAAATGGAACAGATCACTCGTTCCCTGGCCCAACAATCACTCGTTCCTTGTCCCAGCAATCACTCGTTCCGTTGCACGTCTCCGTTCACACTGCTCGATTATCGTACGAAAGCCCGATCGCATACGATTATCGTACGATAATCGTGCAGTGTATGGGCACCTTTATGCAGACATTGCGTAGAAAATGGAACAGATCACTCGTTCCCTGGCCCAACAATCACTCGTTCCTTGTCCCAGCAATCACTCGTTCCGTTGCACGTCTCCGTTCACACTGCTCGATTATCGTACGAAAGCCCGATCGCATACGATTATCGTACGATAATCGTGCAGTGTATGGGCACCTTTATGCAGACATTGCGTAGAAAATGGAACAGATCACTCGTTCCCTGGCCCAACAATCACTCGTTCCTTGTCCCAGCAATCACTCGTTCCGTTGCACGTCTCCGTTCACACTGCTCGATTATCGTACGAAAGCCCGATCGCATACGATTATCGTACGATAATCGTGCAGTGTATGGGCACCTTTATGCAGACATTGCGTAGAAAATGGAACAGATCACTCGTTCCCTGGCCCAACAATCACTCGTTCCTTGTCCCAGCAATCACTCGTTCCGTTGCACGTCTCCGTTCACACTGCTCGATTATCGTACGAAAGCCCGATCGCATACGATTATCGTACGATAATCGTGCAGTGTATGGGCACCTTTATGCAGACATTGCGTAGAAAATGGAACAGATCACTCGTTCCCTGGCCCAACAATCACTCGTTCCTTGTCCCAGCAATCACTCGTTCCGTTGCACGTCTCCGTTCACACTGCTCGATTATCGTACGAAAGCCCGATCGCATACGATTATCGTACGATAATCGTGCAGTGTATGGGCACCTTTATGCAGACATTGCGTAGAAAATGGAACAGATCACTCGTTCCCTGGCCCAACAATCACTCGTTCCTTGTCCCAGCAATCACTCGTTCCGTTGCACGTCTCCGTTCACACTGCTCGATTATCGTACGAAAGCCCGATCGCATACGATTATCGTACGATAATCGTGCAGTGTATGGGCACCTTTATGCAGACATTGCGTAGAAAATGGAACAGATCACTCGTTCCCTGGCCCAACAATCACTCGTTCCTTGTCCCAGCAATCACTCGTTCCGTTGCACGTCTCCGTTCACACTGCTCGATTATCGTACGAAAGCCCGATCGCATACGATTATCGTACGATAATCGTGCAGTGTATGGGCACCTTTATGCAGACATTGCGTAGAAAATGGAACAGATCACTCGTTCCCTGGCCCAACAATCACTCGTTCCTTGTCCCAGCAATCACTCGTTCCGTTGCACGTCTCCGTTCACACTGCTCGATTATCGTACGAAAGCCCGATCGCATACGATTATCGTACGATAATCGTATGCGATCGGGGTTTCGTACGATAATCGAGCAGTGTGAACGGAGACGTGCAACGGAACGAGTGATTGCTTGCTGGGACAGGGACCGAGTGATTGCTGGGACAAGGAACGAGTGATTGTTGCGACAGGGAACGAGTGATTGCTGGGACAGGGAACGAGTGATCTGTTCCATTTTCTACGCAATGTCTGCATAAAGGTGCCCATACACTGCACGATTATCGTACGATAATCGTATGCGATCGGGTTTTCGTACGATAATCGAGCAGTGTGAACGGAGACGTGCGACCGTTTCTACTGTACGGTCGCACGTCTTCTGTCGAACCAGCATGTTCGAAAACCAGCCGGGAATCGTACGATTCTCGGCTGGTTAGAACGGTGCTCGGAAGATAAATGCTGAACGGGCCGGTGTGCGCACGCGCACACTGCCCGTTCAGCATTGCGGTCATCGGAAGCCCGCCCCTCAGGAGGGCGGGCTTGCGATGATCGAGAGTGCGATCTGCCTGTCCAAGATAGGCAGATTGTACGTTTTTTTAATTCCTTTACAACCATCGCAAGACTAAAGTCTTGCGATGGTTGTAGAGTGTATGGCCACCTTAAGGGTCCCCACACACCTTCCGATTATCGTACGAGAATCACGGGAAATCCCGCGATCGTACGATGATCGTAAGGTGTGTGGAAGCCGTGCGACCTCTACTACTGTAAGGTCGCACGACTTTAAACTTACGGACATGTTTGAAAACCCGCCGAGCATCGTACGATGTTCGGCGGGTTTGTGGCATGTCCGTACGATAACAGCCGTACGGGCCTGTGTGCGCAAGCGCACACTGCCCGTTCGGCATTGCGGTCATCGGAAGCCTGCCCCTCAGGGGGCGTGGCTTGCGAACATCGCAAGTACGATCTGCCTATGCAACATAGGCAGATCGTACGTTTTTTTAAGTACCTTACAACCATCGCAAGACAGAAGTCTTGCGATGGTTGTAAGGTGTGTGCCCAGCTCCCTTCAGTTCCCTCTGCACACCCCGATCCCGCGCTCAGCTGAGAGTGAGAGGGAGAAGGAAGGCTGTTAACCCTACATTTGCCAGTGTTAGCAAACCAGGCACATAGGCAGGGAAATGAGCTTTCACTGCCCACATAGTGCGTTCACTACACCAGGTTATCGGCAGAAAGTTCACATCCCGTTCACACCAGGTCCAATCTGTTGTTGTGGCTTACACCATTCATACACTTGTTTCCCAGGCAGCGTTGCTAATTCCTCCCTTTGTCTTAACATACGGTATCCTTCAACTATTTCAATACTTGGTATGTTGTCACTTTGGCATCAGTGTCTCTTTAGGAGCCTGTGTCAATGGGTTGTTATGGGTTACAGCAGTTTGCAACCTGTATGCTCCTTTTTATGGTAGTAAATCGTTTTTCTGTAGTGGTAA